TGTATATGTACTGACTTATTATTTACTCTTTGTCGCGTTTTAAAACATACTTATCAACATCCGGTGTAGCCCAATTCCTCGACTATTTGTTTTATTCTATTCCATTTTATCTACTTAGTTATTGCATCTGAACAATCGTTACCCATATGTAGTCTTGATTTAAAAAATTACTGTAGTCCACGAAGTTCATTAGTTAAATGTTCATTTCACTGAGTCGTGTTTGTAACAATCTCTCTTCCTTCCATTTTTTTCAGCTCTTGGCATTTTGTCGCAAACAAATGACTTTTTCAGCTTTACAAAAAGCTAGTAAAGATATGCCTGGCGGATTAACTTCAGAAGAAATTGGTGATTTAACAAGTGTGGAAGCTCAAATGAATCAGATTAGTCGCGTGAAACCCTTTCAAAGATCTTCAAAGTTACACACACATAGTCAAAATGAATTAAGTGATCATAAATTTCATTTTTCGCCTAAACATCATAGCGATTCTCATCGCAATATTCCGCCAACCGTACAGCCACTTGTGGGTCATTCTTTTAAAAGACATCGTGGTCGTCCGAAATCTCATTTGTCTACTTCCTCGAGGTTATATAATCATATGAATAAAAAAGTTTTGAAAAGTTATTCACACCTTTCATCAGAGGAACATTTATCTCGTGATCATTTAAAAGTAAGTTCTTTGTGTAGAATTGATTGTTTTTTTTACCTTACACTTTTATAATACCATTGTTTATAGCCTCACAAATATCTTTCTTAAGTCTGAATAAATCGATTCATACAATGATGATTATGCATACCAGTGGTTCCTGATGTGTTTGATCTGTATTCATAAGGTCTTGCCATCAATGATATAAATTTGTGGAGAAACATTGAGTGTACTATGTTTAGGGCTAACTTTTTCAAACTCCCTATTTCCATTGCAAGAAGGTAGAATCGCTGCAGAGAAAATACCTTACCACCGACATACAGTGTAGCCAGCAGTACGAATCCACCCCAAGACCTTGAGTTGCTGCTTACCTGACATGGTACGACCTAGAGGAACAAGTGTCTTAGCCACTGTAGAGCGATCGAATCAACGTGGAGGACAAAACTAATCACCATTTCAAAGTAACAGCTATAACCAGGAGTTTGAATTTGGCACCTACATAATCTGTATTCCAGTCTCACAATACACTGTTCGATTTGAACTCTAAAACATTTTAAAAATTATAATAATTGAATCGTGACTAGCAGTGCAATCCAGGACAGATGTCCCTTCTCACATGGAACTCCATAGTGAGTCTCGCCTTATATTTCAGTACTTATGTTCACATTGGCACTCGAACCAGTATATGGCAAGTCTTTACTACGAGAATATGAGCTCAAGACGAACATACCTATAATGACTAGTCAACTGCAGTCCTATGTGCCAACAACGGGAAAAGCAAAACCGTTTCATATATTTTACACAACTTAATTTAAAAGTAGCTATCTGATTAACTCAAAGTACAAAATTATGTACTTGGCTTCAAGCTACACTGCTTGTATGATGGCTAATAATGCTACGCGGCTACGCAAACGAAATTAGCTGTAATGGTCATAGATCATGTATCATTACATTAGTAACTAGCTACCTATTACTTCTTAACAGTTCCCTACTTCTTTGCTAAAAATAACAATTTTTCATTAAAGAGTTATAGAGATTGGTGTTTATTACTAAAATCATGAATCAATCATTGTTAGACCAGCGTTAGAAACCTGAAAGCACTGGAGAGCCGTTTCGTCCTGCTATGGGACTCATTTCTATTGGTGGTCTAACAATGATAGACTCATAATTTCAGTAATAAACACTGATCTCCATAACTCTTTAATGAAAAATCGTACAATGTGCTCACTAGTGACTAGCTTCGTGAGGAAATTCTTGAAGTTCTAGTGAGAAGACGTGACCAGTGGAGCTCAACCCTGTCGAGTGAGGTCAGCAACTACCAAAGAAAAATGGGTGATGTTGTTCCAAATCATCATCAGAGTTAGACATTACCACCGCTCAATGGTCCACAGGTTAGGCGTTCGCGCGCAAGACCGGAGGTCCTGAGTTTGAATCCTGACAATGGTGGGAGTTGTGGATGTGCACTGCTGATTAGTCCCATATCAGAAAGAAATGGTCGTCCAATGCTTCCAGGTTTCTAATGGTAGTCTAACAATGATTGATTCATGATTTCAGTAATAAACATAACAAGTTTTTTGTGATTTTCATTAATAATTTAACACAACTATACCTAAACTGTTATTTACATGATCCAAACGTTATCATTTCTTTCATAGAACAAGAATAACAATACGGAAAAGTGCATCCCCACTGTAGAATGTAACAAATCATTTGGTAAGTTCATTTTATTTTTGTTCCGGATGTTAGATCCCCAGAACTCGCTTGATAAATATCTTTATTTTGGATTTATTTCATGGACCGATCAGTTGACCTTCAGATCACATTTCCCGCCAGGAAAATCCTTGGCTGTGATTGGTTACTGTGTCATTTTAGTCTTCTATTTTTGTGACTGTCCCAAGGACGTCTCTATAGAGTATAAATAAACGCAATTTGAGTGCTTGAATTCATTGTGTGCTGGCTAGGTGTGTGTAGAATACAATTTCTAAACTATATCAAGACTTCTTACTGATTCGGTTTGGTCAAGGGATCACAGTAGCCTACCTGGACGCTGGTTCATTGTATGTTCTCGTTATTCGTCTAAAGTGAACTCGTAATAGTTGTAAGCATATCTAGAGACGAGCGTAACAATTTCGGATACCGATTTGTAACTAGTGATTTGGTTGTTAATACGGGGAGATTATGCGAATCGTTGAGTTGAATGGTTCATATCACGAATTGCTTGTAATTGAATAACCAAACTAAGTGAAGTAGTCGACATGCTCCCTGTCACTAATTCCAGCACCGATGCAATTCAATCCTGAAGCAACATTTTGCATTTAGAGAAATTGAATCGCATCCTGAACATGCATTGCAGCTTAAAGTGATCAGATAACTCTTCATTTTGTCAGTGTCTTCAGAAAACGAAATTCATTCATAAATATAGGAAATGTCCCTCATGAAATTTCGTCATATTTTCAGTCAGTAGTGTGTGTTACTTTTCAAAAAAATCTAAGCCAAATGTTGGTTAATATCATGTATCTATCTACCAGCATCTTTCGATCTTCATTTGATTTACTTACCAACTTCAAGATGAATCTACTCCGTCCTACTATACAGGTATGAAACATATCCGCTTAGAATAGAGGATATTCGTAGGTTACTAGTTTTCGATCATAGATGTCCTCGAAGATTTGCACGTATGACATGGGACCTCCAAGTAAACAGTGGTGGTGTTAGGAAAAGGGTATTATTAGGTATGGATAATACGTCAATAGATGAAGTAGTGAAAATTCACCAGTTGAGGTGAATGACATAACTGAAAATTGTGTGCAATGGCGCAGATGCATCCATTTTCTTGCCTTCTCTTTAATTACAATCTCCTGAATTCCTCATGACATTTTTTCTCTTTTCAAACTGATTCCACTGAAATATACTTCTCGAATCATATTGTGAATCCCTAATCCTCTCAATTACTGCTAATACATCTACTACCTCTACCACTATGTGATTTGAATTGACAATCCCATGTTTGTTTACTAATGTGCTAATGGTAACTTGAACTGATTGATGTACGTACAGTCAGTTGCGACGTAGAACTTCGTACGTATGTACATAAGTTCATGTTGCCATACCACATTATTAGCACAGAGACGCAAATGTCAAATCAAATCCCATAGTGATAAAGATAGTAGAGGTATTAATGTTAATAAAGAAGACTAGAGTTCGAAGATATTATTCAAAAAATATAATTCAGTGAGATAAGATTATAAAGACAAAGGCAGAGGTATTGACGAATCCAGAAGATTAGGATTTGAGAGAGCTCAAAGAGTGGATGCACCTGCGCCATTGCAAACGATTTTGAGCCTTGTCGTTCAAGGTCTCTAACCATTGATGACTTTCGTCTCGCGGACCCCAACCAGGTAGTCTACATCTACCAACATGACTCAGTCCACTTGTCAGTGACTTCATGGATTTCTGCCATGTTTTGGTCTGGCCGCCCCTAACTTTCTTCCAACCTACTCCTACACCACAAAACATAGCTCGTCGAGGCAGTCGGTGGTTAGGCATACGTAACACATGTCCCAACCACCTCAACTGATGAAGTTTCACCACTTCATCGATTGATCTGCCATCCTTACCTAGTACTCGTTTCCTAACGACAGCATTGCTTACTCGGCTGTCCCACGATATACGAGCAATGCTTCTTAAACATCTATGATCGAATACTAGTAACCTACGAACATCTTCTACTCTTAACGGCCATGTTTCACAGCCATATAAGAGAACGGAACGAACTGCTGCGCAGTACACCCACCCTTTGGTTAGCGAACGGATATCACGCCTACGCCATAAGTGACGCAGGTTGGCAAAAGCCAATCGAGCTTTCTGTATCCGAGCTGAGATTTCGTCAGTCACCAGGCCGTCAGCACTGATGAGACTCCCAAGATAAGTGAAGTGATCAACACGCTCGACTACTTCACTCCCTATCACTAGTTCAGGTGCCAATGCAACCCAGTCTTGAAGCAACATTTTGCATTTCGAGGGGGAAAACCGCATCCCGAACATGCTCGCATTGTTGCTTATGGTAGTCAGAAGACTCTGCATTTTGTCAGCGTCTTCACCGAATAGAACTATGTCATCGGCATATTCTAGATCAGTAAGCGACTTTCTTGGTAGAAGGTCAACCCCTGAAAAATCTGACGAGCTTAATGTTAACTCTAAGAGGATGTCTACGACAAAGTTAAACAAGAATGGAGAGATGTACGCACGCATCAAGTTCCATGTTGTAGCTGACTAACTGATCTGTTTAATTGCTGCTTCACTGTATCACTATTAACAATCATTTCCATTTTCATTCTTCTCTGTTCCTACTTTAAGTTGGTGGTGTTAAAATTCCGAAAGAAGCTCAATCAACTCACTATAACACATGTAACAAATCATCTCCGATTGATTCTCCTATCATTCCTATTCCACAACGTCGTGGTCGAGGTAGACCAAGAAAAAATAAAATTAATGATATTCAAACATCTTCAGCTAGTTCAACTTTAAATATCTCCTCTATACAACAATCACATCAAGATTCTTCATTGATTTCTACAAATTCTACACCGACAGATGTAAAAAGAAAACATTCTGACAATGCAACCACCCTATCATCATCATCCTCATCACATGATCATTATTCTCGTACGGTGTGTGTAAATAATAATACTTTTGAAAATGTAAATTTATCTATGAGTTCAGCGCAATCCGGTGAATATGAATTATCTCACATTGAAGAATCTCTAGTGAAAATGGACGAATCTAATTGTTCACAATATAATCAAGAATTTTCAAATAATGAACCTATTGTTTTATTAAATATTGCATCATCCACTACTCCATCTTCATCATTATCACCAATATCATCTGGATCGTCTTGTAAAACATTGATTAGTAAAACTGGATTTGTTTCGAAAAAAAAATCATCATGTCAAAAATCCACTGCCGATATTCAATCCCAATCCAATAAATTATTACCTCACATTAAAATGGATAAGACAATAACAAATGATGAAGACAGTGTCTACAATAATGATAGTTGTGATGAAAATGTCGAACAATCAAATCATCATCGAATTATTGACAATGTAGCAAATGATATTCTTATTCAAGTTAAAAAAGCTGCTGAAGAGTCAGCTGCAAAATTAAAACGAAAATATGAATGCATTACAAGTAGTGAAACTAATAATGAATATGTTGGACCGAAAATTGTATATTTGAATGTAAGGCATCTATTTATAGCATTGGATTTAGATTGAAAGTCAGCAGTATTAATTATTTATAGATTATTGAACTGTTTTTCTAGGTCAGTCAGTCTCATGTGGTGTTACGGGTATGAGGGCTGATGTCACTTCTTGGCTGCCCATCACGGTGGGAGGGTATTTTTTGAGGAGCCTGAAAAGGGAGCTTGATTACTGTTGATCTTGACGACCTGGGAGCGTGACCGCAGAGCCCAAGGGACTACTGCTTGAGGCCGGTTACGCATATCCTTTCTATGGGAAGTTTTTCAAGTGTTTTAAAGGCCTTACCGCCCGTGGTGTAAAGTGAGGTGATACATTTTTAAGGTCAACCTTATCTAAACCTTCCTTCCTTGTGAGAAGGCACCATCGTTGTAATGCTGACTTTCCGAGGGGAACACCTTACTGTTGTCACACCTTTCTACAGTCAGTAGTACGACTTCGCCCTCAGATATTAAATTGCTACTTTTAGTCTTACCGTTCTCCGACTGACCTGCTTGGCATGGTAAAGCCTACAAGAACATATGTTCCAGCCATTATAGCTCGGTCGGGTCATCACGATAGGCAAGCCCGACCACCACGTCCAGGTAGCAGCTAAGGTCGAGATCGCTTCTAAAACGAGACGTCGTTTAACTACATCTCACTAACTAATTACAGCCTAATTTACACTGCTCCCAGCCACATTGGTCATATGGTGACTGTTAAAAAGTAAAGTAATGACATATTGAGCAATCATGAACTAGTTACATACTGTCTGAAGGTCATATGGTGTGTGAGAGTTACAAAGCTAGAAGGGCTATTGTCAGTATGTAGATTATTCACTTAATTTAGGTCGCCGCCTATCTGAATCAATTCAGTATAAAATAACTGCACCTGCGACTTACATATTTATTCAGCCCTTTACAAGACAACTCCCTACTTACCTTTAATATTTTTGCTTTATTCAACTAGTTGAGCAACCACTAGGAAACGCACATTGTTACATGAATCAGAAGGTTAAGCATAAATTGTAGATTGGTTGGTGTTTAAACCGCAGATCTTACTGTCAAAGCTAACTGGTTTCCCTTCAGTGTTTAAAAAATATTAAACTTCCAATCAACAAATCTTCAGTTCTAACCTACATCCGTTTAAGTAGTAAGGACTAGATATCAAACAACCAGTATAGCTTGAAACTAAAAACATGATGCTTTCGTACTCAGTACTGTGTTTTGATATCATTCAAGTGTTTTCCTGTTCATTTATCTTGGATCGACTGCAGCCTCTCGTCATCTTTGCTGCCATCATTGGCGCAGGTCCATAAAACTGAATGACATTTATTGTAACCCTTTCCTTCTTTGTTTAGAAGGATACTTTGATTACCCTAGAGTCATGAGTTTCTCATCCAATAAGTACATTTTATGCTATGGAAATGATCAGTTCATCTCTTTGTGTGTTGGCCATTTTCTCCTTTATCAACAGAATATAATCAAAGCTTGAATGACAAGTTTTTGCTATCCAGGTTGTATCTAGTGAGTATTATTATTCCATGCATAGCCAGGTTGTATTGTAGTGTATGAGAACGCAGGTGGGGCAACCGAATTGTATTTACCGAAAATTACAGAGTTACTCAGTAAAATCGGAAAACCATATCGTAAATTGTTCATTTGCAAAAGATCAGTTCATCCTATGGAACTGAACTGTTCCTGTTGCCAAACATCAATCCATTGTCACTATTCATGCGTTTCATACAAATTCCATTGTTTTCTAACTCTTCCTTTCTTGATCTTCCCCCCATATTATGCTACCAGACTTTACGTTCACACTCACGTTATATACTACTTATAAGTAGTTCGCACCACAGCACCACAGTATCTTCTCATTTCTGCTGCTATATGAATCGTCCTCCCAATTTCCAGACATTATATTTACCTATATCTATTGTTGCTCTGGTTGTGAAAAGATACATCAGTCTTGTGGCTTCCAAAGAATCTGATCTTTCAGCGTAAAGCATCATGACTCTTCTAAATAAATACTTTTCAACTATCATAACACAGTTTAGTCGGTTATTTTTGGTTAGCATATTTTTATCAACGTTATTTTTACGAGGCAAGATTGTTAACTGTACCTTCAACGCTTTCCGTTATTCGAGCTCGGGACCGGAAATAACCGTGAAGCTTCAACGTAGAACTTTGAACGTACGTGCTTAGATCAGTTCAAGTTACCATACCACATCATAATACTGATTGTTTGAAAACAGCAGTTTACTTCCAGTACACAAATAGTTTCTTCTTCTTCTCACCTTAGCCCTACTTCAATCCATATAACATGATGAAGGTAGGCACTGGCTTTTCACAAGTGCCTCATACTGTAGTGAAGGAGAAAACAGGTGAGGGCAACCGAATTGTATTTATCGATATTAAAGAGTTAATTGGTAAAATAGGAAAACCATATCGTAAACCGTTAATTCGCAAAACATCAATCCATTGTCTGACATTTCACTGTTCATGTGTTTCATACAAATTCCATTAAGTTCCAACTCTTCCTTTCTTTTATGTTTCGTCCTTGATGTAACGTCAACCACCGTACTACTGACACCCGAACGTTAGACCCCTCCGTTCAAAGAAAAGAAGACGGAAGTCGTTGTAGAACACTTCTTGTCAGAATCAAAAATGTACAATCAAACATGCGTATTTATACAATTATATAAAAGTCGTTAATTATTTGAACATGCTTCAAATAGTTCGTCAGGAACGATAATCATATAGTTCATCATAAATGAAATAGTTTATCATGAACATGAATCATATAATTCATCATTAATGAAATAGTTTATCATGAACATTAATCATATAATTCATCATTAATGAAATAGTTTATTATGAACAAAAATCAAATAGTTCATTAAATCCACAATATGCGTGGCTTTATTCTCGATTGACTATCCCAACACCTCCCCGGAATAAGATTTTTTCCTTGGGTCCACTTGTAGTCTTACGACTGGTTTGCGGCGGCGTTCCATTCTGGTTATGGGGTTTCGAGTTAATGTCTCCAACCTTCCCTTTTCTTCGGCATTCCGGGGCAAATGTGCAGTTGTCGGTTCTGTGATCAACTCTAGGGGTAGATTCACGCGATTATCACCCGAGCGTGCCATTCTTTGATCCCTTCGCATTTGGTTCGTGTGTCTAACACAGCTTCCGAAAGCTCCTATGATTCGATACAAAACTCTTCCTAGTCTTTGGACGACTGTTCCTGGTTCCCATTGATTTTTACCACGATATGTTTTTAGGAACACTTTATCGCCCACGTTGAAGCTGCGAATATTTTGACTTGGCCTATATCTATTCGCTCTTTTAGGGGGCAACATCGCGTTAAAAATAGTCCGAATACGTCTTCCAAACATCGCTTCGGCTGGAGACTTCCCCTCTAGGACCATAGGGTTCGGAGTGCTTCTGTAAGCCGTTAAAAACCTCGTGATTACTTGGCTAGTTGGTCCCTCATCTCCCCCTTTCAGTAAAGCTCTTTTGAAAGTGTCCACGAAGCGTTCAGCCTGTCCATTCGATTGGGGGTGGTAAGGTGGGGACCGTAGATGCGTTATGCCGTTTGAACTGCAGAATCGCGTGAATGAGTCGGCAACAAATTGTGATCCATTATCAGTTACCAAGGTTTCTGGCACTCCGAAACAACTAAATAAGGTGGACAGCTTCTGAATAGTTTCTGAGGCTGTACAATTCGGCATGCTGTATATTTCTGGCCATTTTGTATACGCATCTACAATAATTAGGAACATTTTACCTTGGATTGGGCCAGCGAAATCTGCATGAATTCTTTTCCAAGGTCCCGTAGGTTTCTATATAACGTTCGTGTTCGATTGTGCCGAGCTTTCTCAAAAGGATTCTGACTTTGGTGGCGTCATCAAGATTGTTGAGGTCGACCTTGAACAAATCCTCATACTTCTTAAACCAAGACTCGAAAGTCACACCCGCAAGGCCATCAAAATGAAATTCATGAATGGAATTAACTATCGAGTCTGTATGTGCATTATATGAGTCGTCGGTAAGACCTCTGTGATTCAGATTCATTTGTTTCATTAACATCTCCAACATACGTTCCTGGAACTGTTCATATCGTTTACCTTGACGTTCCAGTAAAGATTCTAACTGTTCAAGATTAATTGACATTGTGAATTGTGAGCCCCGTCGCCACTTTTATGTTTTGTGGATATGGTTCTTACCCCGTCGCCACTTTTATGTTTTGTGGATATGGTTCTTACCCCGTCGCCACTTTTATGTTTTGTACTTGATGTAACGTCAACCACCGTACTAATGACACACCCGAACGTTAGACCCCTCCGTTCAAAGAAAAGAAGACGGAAGTCGTTGTAGAACACTTCTTGTCAGAATCAAAAATGTACAATCAAACATGCGTATTTATACAATTATATAAAAGTCGTTAATTATTTGAACATGCTTCAAATAGTTCGTCAGGAACGATAATCATATAGTTCATCATAAATGAAATAGTTTATCATGAACATGAATCATATAATTCATCATTAATGAAATAGTTTATCATGAACATTAATCATATAATTCATCATTAATGAAATAGTTTATTATGAACAAAAATCAAATAGTTCATTAAATCCACAATATGCGTGGCTTTATTCTCGATT